GGAGAGAGTGATATCCTGTTACCAAGCAGCAGGGAGACTCTCACAAGCTGAGAGGATAATTAGAGAGAGAATGGAGGCTGATGGGGAGAGTGTGTTGCTATGGTGTCTCCTTGGGGACACAACTCAAGTTAGTAATACCAATAATAATATTAATAATAATAATAATAAATATTGTTTTGTGATGAACTGTTTAGGATCCAGATTGCTATCAGAAAGCATGGACACTCTCAAATGAAAGAAGTTCAAGGGCCCAGAAATCTCTTGGACTGTATTACTTGTCAAAAGAGAAGGTTTTAGCACCATTATTATTATATTTTTATTTAAAATTATAATTTTATAGTATGATGAATGCGTCGAATGTCTTCACAAATCGGTTCAAATCAATTCGCTTCAGGTACCAAATAAACTGATTGGTATCATTTTGGTTCTACTATTCTCATTAGGAAGGGGTGTGGTTTACACTAGGTCATGCCGCAGCGCAAATTGATGACCATGCACTATCAGCCAAAGCTTATCGCCATTGTGTCACTTTAGAACCTGACGTAAGAGTTGTAAGCATCATAATGGTTACTGCATGGTTCTTCATAGAATGCTGAAGCTTGGAACAATTTAGCTAGTGCATACTTGAAAAGGAAAGACAAGTAATAATAATATAATTATTATTTTAATAGTAATAGTGGTTTTTACGAAGTCTTTAGCCTTTCTAATAGACCTCATATTCTTTCTCTCTCTCCTTCCTTCTCCACTGTTCTCTTTCTTGCTCTAGGCTACGTGCTTTTAATTCATTTCAAGAAGCTTTGAAGTGCAATTATGAAAATTGGAAGATCTGGGAGAACTATCTTCTTGTATGTTATGTTAATACATGATCTTTCTATTGTAGCACCCCCACAGGTCAGTATAGATATTGGTGAGATCACTGAAGCTATAAGATCATATCACAGACTAATGGACTTACGTCATAAGCACTTGGACTCTGAGGTACTTGGTTTTTAGTTCTTCCAAATTAGGCCCAAATTTTGTCAAAAATGGAAAGTAGAGGATTTTTCATTTTTATAAATTTTTCTGATACATATACATGTTCCTATGTTGTGTAGAAAGTTTGAGCTAATTCCGATACAATTTGGATTTTTTATGAATTTTTTTAAGTTCCTCAAAAATTGGGTCAAAGTCCCTGTACTATAGTACAGGGATCTTGGCAAAATTTTGCCAAAAATGAAAAGTAAATAATTTTTTATTTTTATAAATTTTTCTGATGCATATACATGTTATTATGTTGTGTAGAAAGTTTGAGCTGATTCCGATCAAAGTTAGATTTTTTACAAATTTTTTAAGTTGCTCAAAAATTGGGTCAAAGTCCCTGTACTATAGTACAGGGATTTTGGCCAAATTTTGCCAAAAATGAAAAGTAGAGAATTCTTGATTTTTATAATTCATTCCGATGCATATACATGTTCTTATGTTGTGTAGAAAGTTTGAGCTGATTCCAATACAATTTGGATTTTTTATGAATTTTTAAAGCTGCTCAAAAATCGGACCAAAGTCCCTGTACTATAGTACAGGGATTTTTGCAAAATTTTGCCAAAAATGAAAAGTAGAGAATTTTTTTATAATTTTTTCTAATGCATATACATGCTCTTATGTTGTGTAGAAAGTTTGAGCTGATTCCGATCAAAGTTAGATTTTTTATGAATTTTTTAAGTTGCTCAAAAATTGGGCCGAAAACCATGGGCTATAGTATTACATGGTGCTATTAATTTTTGTCAAAATATTGGTGCTCAAAATTGGCAATCACTAGCAATGCTCCTTGCAAATATTTTTCAGCTTTTAAAGATAATAACAGACTCTGTTTTGGACTTGGATGAAGACGAGCAAGACAAAAGTAAGGCCATTCTCTTAGATATCTTCCATATCCATTGCTGTAGCTGGTAATGTGAGGAAGAAACTAGGTGAACTATTAGCTCGCTCTATTGCCGAGGTATATATGCCATTTGTGGTAGGCATGCATGGTTTTATAATTATAATGTTTCTTAGACTACTGGTAATTCTGAGCTCTGGGAAGTTGCATCACGTTTTCATTTGAGCAGCCCACTTGAAAATGATAAAGAAAAGGTACATTACTTCAATCAGTACATTATCTCAATTGTTTCTGTATATTAATACTATAATTGTGCATTTTCAATCTGTTCTCAGGGTATCATTGAGCTACAGAAAGCACAAAGAACATCACGTCAAGTTCCGTCTTGGGAGAGAGAGGAGTCCTCAAGAAACAGAGTCATTCATTTGACACTCCATTACTCTAAAGGTAAGGCCAGAACAGCATCAGGAGATTATTGTGTGTGTGTGTCTTGAAAGATATCATGAACTTATGCTTTTAAATTCTTTGCACTACTTAGTTTGTCGTGAATCGGGAAAGAAAGATAATTTGTTTTCTGCAAGAATGGCATTGAAGAGTGTGATCAGTATACTCAAAGTAATGAATAATCATATTATGTATGTGGGCGGGGCGAGACTAGTGTACGTGTATGATGATTCACATTTTGCTATAGGGCATGGAAACAGGATTCATTCCTGGAGAACAGTTATTGAAGCTTGAAGATGAAATGCAGCTTTTAACAGAGTACATCTAATTTTTTAATTGTATTATTTTGCTAGTCTTTTGTGTGTAACAATTTATTCATTATAATTATAATAAATTGTCATGCTCGCCCCGGCCCCCTCAATGTTAATTAATTGATTGATGAGTTGATTAATAAAATGGCGGGCATGACTTTCACTCCTGGTGTGCTAGAGTCCAAGCTAAGGGACCTCAACTCTACAATGCAGAGCATACAGGAGCTCTCACAATGGCTGATAAATAACAAGAAACACGCTAAGTCAGTGGTGGGCATATGGTTCAGAGAAATGCAGAAAGGTATTGAATACTAAGACATCATAAATGAATTTTTGCTGTTATATTTCTATATATATTCTATTTTTCTATAGCTTCTTCAAGTAGAAAGCTCACTCTGGTGTATCTTGCCAATGACGTTATTCAAAACTCGCGTCGCAAAGGACCAGAATATAAAACTGAGTTTGCCAAGGCACTCCCTCGCGCACTTCATCTTGTTGCAAAGTAGGCCTCGTTGCTATGTCAACTGTTGCTATAACGACCGTTGCTATAGAGACAAGGATCAGAGCGTCACCAAATCAGTGACTCACGTGATATCGATATGGAAAGAGAGGCGGGTTTTTGAGGACGAGACCATTAGCAAATTTAATACGATTCTGAGTAAGGGTCTCTTTCTATTGTACGCCATCCTTTTATGTGTCAACTCTCTCTTTCTCCCTCTCTCTTTTCCCCCTCTCTCTTTTCCCCCTCTCTCCCTCTCTCTCTCTCTCTCATCAGGCAGTGGTCATTATAAAAGATCAAAGAGTGAATCAGATGCATTATCTACTAGCTCTAGAGTTGAGGAATCATCATCAATGGGTGTGGTTATTGATTCTGAGACAACTCCACCCCCTCAAGAAGACCCACCTAATGGTAGAGAGCCTCCTCAGGTAAAAATGACCTTTTACCTCAAGGGGGGTTGTCTCACTTGTCTGTAGGCATTAGGAGGAGGTTCTTATATTGTTCTCTGTTGTAATGGGTCCCAGCCTTGTTCAATAATATTGTTACAATCATATTAGGTTGATGTATTGCTGAAGCTTATGACTTCAGTAGATGGTGAGAAGTCAGCAATACAAGACATGGCACTCAGACAAAGGATAGCCAACTTTCCCTCTCATCTCTACGACGTTGACATACTATCAAAATTAAAAAGTGAGTGAGTCCTTCTTGTGAGATAATGTTAACTTAATGATCCTATACTAGGTAAGGAGGCATGCCAGGAGCTGTTGGAAGAAGTCAAAGAGCCACTTGAGATTTTATCTCAATATACAAAGAAGATGGAAGACGAGCTAAAGGAGAGGCAAGAGATAGAACAGTTGCTGGAGAGTTTTCTGTGGCTACATCAATGTCTCCTTTATAAAGCTAAAGAAAGACAGAAAGTTCGCATTTATAATTATACCTACA